TAGAAGACACTACATACGAGAGGCTTTGTTATTAAATTGGGAGAAGATTAAATAAGAACATTATTTGAAAATTCCAGTCTGGGTATCAACGATTGAAGCATTTTCACATTTAACAACATTTAGAAGGGAACAAATTGTTAGATATAGTGAATTATTGGATGAAAAGGGTGAACTTAAATTGAAGCAAGAACTGGAAGAACAAGGTTTAAAGATGAATTGGTTTTCTTATTTGCAAATACGTTCCAGATATGTTGAAGATTGTAAGACAAGAGGTCTTTACAACACTTTGACTAATTTAGATAAAATCTTAATAGGCTCTGATGACTATGTAATTAAAAAATTGTATGGTTATTTATTAGAGGTAAAATTAGAAGAACAACAAGTTAAAGAAACAATGATTGCATGGGGGGGGAAATTTTGGTTATGGAATTGATTTAGAGAAATGGCAAAAATTGTGGTTGCAAAATTATAAAATGACAATGTCAACAGCATATAAGGAAAACTTGTATAAGATGTTTTACAGGTAGCATTTACCCCTGACGAGAATAGCCAGAATGTTCAAGAATAAATCTGAAAAGTGTCGGAAATGTCATCAGACACCGGGCTCATATTACCATATGTGATGGACATGTGTAGAAGCTAAAAGATACTGGACTAAAATCCACACATGGTTGGAAAAAATGATAAACAAACACATAGACTTTAAAACAGAGATTTTTTTATTAGGAATTATACCAGAAACATACAATAGAGAATTGAGAGATTTGATTGTGAATGTATTGACAGCGGCTAGAATTGTGTTTGCTAAAAACTAGAAAAACGAGAAAATGCCAATGCAAGATGAAGTTATTAAGAAAATCATGGAATGTGCTGAAATGAGTAAATTGACATTTGAAATTAGAGAACAAGAAGATAAACAATATTATAAGATATGGGATTTATTTTACCAATAGCTAGATAATAAAACATGGAAATGAAATATGAAATATAAAATGAAAGTTAGAATATAGTAAGTAAGTAAATAAGTACTTACTACTTACAAAAAATGCCATTGTTGAATAAATGACAAATGAGAATAATGATATAAAGATATATATCAGGTTAATAATATGAGAAATTAGATAATTAGTAAAATATGATTATGGGGAAGAAGCACAAGGGATTTGTAACCAATCGACACACTGCTTGAAATTGTAATGAATGAAGGATGTTTTATGTTTTGTTTGTTTAAAAATAAAAAAAATTGCAAAAAAAACCAACAACCATTGGTATTATTTTTTAGAACCTAAAAGGGGTGTATGTGTGTGTGTTGGTATTACATTATTAGGAATGTTGGTGATAACCTTTTGTTTGTTTGTTTGTTTGTTTAACCAGAGCTGGCCTGAAAAAAAGCAAGAATGCATGGTGGTGGACTTCCTGCATCCCCAGCAGATGGTGATAGTTGTGATTCTATGCATGTATCTCAACCAGAAGAGGAGATATGTCATTCTACACCACAGCTACAAGCCCATAACTCTGCAAACTCTCTGAATATGAACCATGTTTATCTGGATATGGTGCAGGCATGGGAGAAGCCTATCTGAAATTTCAGGGCTATAGAATACTATCATCGATATAGATTTGTTAATCTTGACCGAATCCAGTCTTTTGTAGATGCTATAGAGGCTATTCATAATGCGATACAGACTCTTTTGAATAATGTGGCTAGGGACATAGGCCCAAACTATGTTGTTCAACTCCGGTTGGATGCAGAGGGGTTAAATCATCCTCTCTTTTCTCTTAGGAGAATGATTTAAATGCTGATGATTTTCTGACCAATGTTGAAAATCTGCTTCAAAGTAAGCAGAGATATTTGGGGGTGGGTGGGTGGTAATTTACAATTAGTGGTTACTATCATGAAGAACAAGGAGGCGGGTGGGTTTAGGAAGTTAAACACTGTGCTGCTCACCAGAGTACTGGAGAAAAAAATACAACACCTAGTAGATTTCTTTTATTATTATTATTATTATAAATTTTTATTTATTTAAAAATACAAACAAAACAAAACAAGTAACAACAAAACATACAGAACAGGTAAACAAAAATTCAATATACATCTTATCAAAGTTGTCGCAACTGTAATCTATGCTCTTATTTGTGCTTTTGACTCCTCCTCGTTTTGGTCTATTCTCTTATATCTATCTTTGTGGTTCACTGTTAACCTGCATTAGTGGTTTGTGTTCCTATCCCTATATTAGGTCGTTCCAGTCACCTAGTAGATTTCAATGCGAAAGGTGAATTTCTGTGTTTTGCTAGCTGTTTGCTCTGTCTGATTGGTGTGGATGTTAGAAATCAAGAAATTATTACCAAGGCCAGGGAACTTCACAGCAGACTGGGTGTTTCCACAGAAAACAGGATTGACTTTTCTCAGATACACCTCTTTGAAGAAGATTTAAGGGTCACTATAAAGATTTTGTTTTATATGCAGGACGGGTGGAGGTTTTTTGTCACCGGTAGCCCACAGCATGAAAAAATAGTGTTTATATTGTTACACGACAAGCATTACTATGGCATCAAAAATATCAAGGGCTTCCTGGGTGAATGCTATTTCTGTAAATTCTGCCACACACCCTACCACCACAAATTTAGTCATGGCTGTCAATATATCTGTAGAGCATGTCTCAAGCAAGAATGTCAGCAGGTAGAGAAGGAGAAGATGCACTGCTGTAGGTGCAAAGTGTTTTGCTGGTCTAAGGTGTATCTTGAAAGACACACACAACTCACTATGGAGGGGAAAGTTGACTGTAAGAATAGGGAATATTGTGAAATGTGTGGGGTTTACATCTTTACCTCCCACAAAAAGTGCAAGAAAGCCAAGTTTGGACAGTGCTCTTAGAAGGTTGAAAGCTTGGAAGGGCATTTATGCTTTCTAAAATCGTTGGACTGACCGCGAATTGGTGAAAGATACATCATTTATGATTTTGAATGCTGTCAAGAGACAGGCACCCATATACCTAATTATACCTGCGCCAGGGATATGTTGAAGGATGGGTATGATAAAGATGTTGTGAGGTGGGATTGTTATGGTTTTAGATGCCTGGAGCAGTTTGTAAAGAAATTTATAAATCATAAGTTTAAAGGATGTACTTTTATCGCTCACAACGCCAAAGATTATGACGGGTACCTATACTGAGACAGCTAATCCATGAAAAGGTTAGGGTTCAACTTATAAATCGGGGGCGGGGGAACTGTTGTGTATCACCCTTCTGGATTATAAGATTCGGTTTATTGATAGCCTCTCATTTTGCCCCTTAAATTAAGCAAATTACCCAAAGCTATGGGGTTTCAAGGCAGCAACGGATTTTTCCCTTACTTGTTTAATACAATGGCCAATCAAGACCACTCCCTGAAACCAAGTATTACAGCTCTGAAACCATGATGCCCGGGGAGAGACAAGAATTCCTGAAATGGCACACTGCTAATACAGGTACTGTGTTTAAACTAAAGAAGGCTCTGGCTTACTATTGCAGACAAGATGTAGATATATTAAGAGAGGCCTGTATTTGATTTAGGGAACAGGTGATGAAAATGACTGAGCGTGATTGTCTCAGTGGGTCGGGGGGGGGATATTGTTGAGGAGATAGAGATTCGATGCATTGATCCCTTCCAATATATCACATTGTCATCTGTCTGCATGGCCCAGTACCTGTTCATGTATTTGAAGAGCAATACCATTGCATTAGCTCCTTTGGACAGTTATCATAAAAAACAGAAAAGGTATTCAGCTCCAGCGATTCAATGGCTGTTTCATATAAAGCACACTGAAAATCTCAATATTCAGCATGCTCTGAAGCGGAGTGAGAAGCAAGTAGGAAAATATTTTTTGGATGGTTTTGCTGTCATAAATGGAACTCCCACAGCTTTTGAATTTCATGGTTGTTTTTTTCATGGGTGCCCTGTCTGCTACTCTGAAAAAGACTTCAACAAATTACTTGATTCAACATATGGTAACCTGCACAACCATACTAGGATTAAAGAAAAGTACCTCGGAGACCAGGGTTATGCTGTGCACTGCATCTGGGAACACGAATGGAGGGCCATGGCAGAGGATGACACCTCTTTGAAGCAGTTTCTAGTTGAGAATAAGCTCCCAACTCCTTTGAATCCTCAAGATGCTTTTTTTGGTGGTAGAATAAATGCTACATGCCTGTACTACAAACCAAAACCTGGTAAACAAATCTTATACTATGATTTAACCAGTCTGAACTCCTTTGTGAATAAGACCAAGGAATACCCGATTGGCCATCCACAAATCATCTATCAAAACTTTGGGGACATAAAGCAATATTTTGGGTTAGCCAATGTCAAAGTGTACCCGCCAAGGAATCTCTATTTCCCAGTCTTACCCCACAAATCAGGGGGCAAATTAATGTTTAGTTTGTGTGCAGCCTGTACAGAAAAACTGCAAAGCACCCCCTGTAAACACAGTGATGAGGAAAGAGCTCTGACTGGGACATGGTGTACTGTTGACTTGAATGTAGCTTTAGAAAAAGGTTACAGAATTGTTGAAATCTATGAGATCTGGCATTTTGAAAGAACATCAAATGAGCTATTTTCAGGTTATATGAACACACATCTCAGACAGAAACAGGAGGCCAGTGGCTACCCTGACTGGTGCAAAACAGAACAGGATAAAAAGCAATATATTCAAGATTATGAAAAGATGGAAGGTGTCCGCTTACTACGTGACCACATTGAAGTAAATCCTGCTAAAAGACAGACTGCCAAAGTCTTTTTAAAGTCACTGTGGGGCAAGTTTGGTTAGAGCACCAATCACCTGACCACCTCCGTGGTGACAAATCCTGAGGATTTATTCAAATATCTTTTTGTGCCCTATTATGATGTTTCCTCATGTGAGTTTGTGGATACAGAGACAGCCATTGTGACATGGAAAACATCCAAGAACCACCCCACCAAATCCACATGCACTTTACAACAGCTTATGCATGACTGGAATTATACAGGCTACTGGATGGGCGGGGTGATAGGTGCCTGTACCATGACACCGATTCACTCATTTTTGTAAGTAGAGAGGGGGCATGGACACCTCCTTTGGGTGATTATTTAGGACAGCTGACAAGCGAGATTCCACCAAACACTACGATAACAGAATTTGTTGCTGCCGGTCCCAAAATGTATGCTTATGCTTTGTCCAATGGTGAAGCAGTGCCAAAGGTGAAGGGGATCACACTAAACTGTGGTAATAGCAATAAGGTTAATTTTGACAGCTTGAAAGATTTGGTAGATGATTATTGTCTGTCTGGTGCAGAGAGAAAAAAATAGATCAGGGTGGAACTGTTGGGGATTGTTAGGGTTAAGAAACAGTGGACCCTAAAAACAAGGGTCCTCCAAAAAACTCTAAAAGTGGTGTATAATAAAAGGTTATTAAAGAGTGAGGATTACTGTACGCTGCCTTACGGCTATTAAGGATGGTAGAAAATATTGCACAATTTGTACAACCTTTCTCCTGTATTATAAGCAGTCCGTCCAATTCTGGCAAATCTTTTTTTATCAAACAAATGTTAGAACATGGCGATGTTGTGTTGTCTCAAATGCCTCAAAATATTATAAGGTTTTATAGCTGTTGGCAACCTCTCTACAAAGAAGTACTTAATAAAATCCCTTATATTAAGTTTATGGAGGGGTTTCCATCTTCTTTTGAAGATGATGATTTGTTTCCGCCAAATCAAATCACTCTAGCCGTAATAGATGATCTCATGGCATCGGCTGGTGACAGCAATCAAATAGAGAGGGCTTTTACACAGTACGTTCATCACAGAAACCTGAGCATTATTCTCATACTTCAAAACCTGTTTTTTTCAAGGTAAGAAAATGAAAACAATAGCTCTGAATTCTAAATATTTGGTTTTATTCAGCAGCCCCATGATCAGATGCAAATTGTCACACTGGCCAGGCAAATGTACCCCACTAACACAAAGTATTTTTTAGAAGTATTCCAAGATGCCACTCGCAAACCACACAGGTAGATTTGGTAGATTTGGCAGCCACCACTCCAAAACCCTACAGGTTGAGAACAGGCCTCTTCCACCTGATTGGCCTGCTGTTTACAGAATGAAAAAGAAGTGTAAAAAGCAGTAGCCCAGTTACATTAGCACTAGTTCATTTAAGATGTACATAGAAATTGGGGGCTTTTAAAAATCTTAGTAAAGGCCGAACCAAGACAGAGAAAAGCCATCTTATGCAATGCTAATAATGACCTGGTAGGGGCAATAGCGGAAATAGCTCTGAACACCCTAAAAGGAAATTTTCCTCTGAAACCTTCACAATCCTAGTCTCTAAAGAAAAAGAAAGGTGTCATTAAAAAGTTGAGTGATAGAAAGGTCTCACTCAAAAAGAAGAAGCAGATCATACTTCGGTCAGGTGGTTTTATTGGTCCCTTACTAGGGATAGCTATTCCTTTGTTGACTAGCCTGTTAGCTGGATAAATCATGGACCATGCCGAGAAAATGTATCTGGTGTCGTGTCATCAGATGGAGTAACTACAGGGCAGGCCACCTACTACGGGAGCTACAGCCACTAACTGGTTGGACGACAAGATGCCCACCATTCTTCAGAGATCTGATTTGTGTGAGGATGACAAGATTCTGTACTTCAGAGGTATCTAAGACTGACCAGACAAAATGAGTCTGAAAAGGACAGACTGAATCTCATTTGTCCATTGGAAGAACCTCGACCACTTCCAATATTACCAGAACAGCTGCCACAGCCATCTCTGCAGGCCACAGCAATGGATGAGATCCTAAGGGGTGTGGGCACCTGTTACAGGAAAAATGCGAAACTTTTGCTGAACAAAATGAAACAGCATCAGGACGTCTCAACCTGGAATGATCGTGGTACTTTATATACAAAGGTGTCCCTATTCCTGGTACTAATATTTTAGACTTGGTGAAAGGAGCCTTGCAACACCAAGCCCCTACTGAGAAGGGAAACCTAAAGGCTGAGATGACTTTATGAATGCTATGGCTGAGGTTAATGTTCCAACCTCTGTGTTGGGGTCTACTGCTGTTAAAGAGCAAATAGAAAAGCTGAAAGATTCTCTGGTTGTTAAGGATGAAATTGCTACTGGCCCTGTCTCTGTTATGACAGCCCCTTTTGGGGCTCAGAAGCCTCTGTTTACAGGCACACCCTCCAGCCCCTGGACATTAAATCCTAGAAGTAGGCTCAGGTTTGGTGACTGGTTCAATTTGTAAAATAAAAACACAGTGAAACAAGTAAAAATGTTTAAGTCTTTTTCTTTATTTTACAGTAAGGCAGGCATGCACTGGTGATGGTTACAGGTTCTGAGCCCCCTTTCCACCTTTATAGTTTTTACAAACAGCTTTACCATTTGATCATTTTTAATATTGGCATTGAAGTACATCTTTAAAATATTTTCATAGTCCACTCTTTTAGTCCAGTTTAGTAGAAAAAATGCAGTGTTGCCCGCAGGTCACAGCATTGGGGTGTTGCAGTTGACGTTGGTGAAATGTGTACTTCTCAGCTTGCTGCTCTAAAAACATCACTATGGAGCCAGGAAAGTCAGGACTATCCAGCAGTCTTCCATAAGAATAAAAAAATTTGCCATATCCGGGAGATGGAAAGTAGAGGGCCAGCCAGTGTTCACCAGGCAGAGTGTGAAGGTGGGTATTTACAATTAATCCAAAAGGTCTTTTGAAGATATGTCTCTGGGGTAGCAGGTCATAAGGATAGACCCCTTGTACTCTGAATGTCCCACTGCCCATGATAGGAATTGGGTTTCCCTGATAGTCCCTTAGAATAAACGAACATGGGCCCAATTGTCTCTTTGATATCCTTGGCGCTATACATTTTAAAGTGCTCCAAGAGGCTATTGATGTGGCTGATCCTGTATCCACTTCCATGAGGCACGGCTTTCCCTCGATGTGGATTGTGAGGTGAATCTTCTGTTTGACATGCTGTTCTGCCGGGTGGCCCACCATGTTCACGTCAGACGGGCCTCAGAAATTGGGAAAACAATCATCTTGGGGTCTGAATGGCCTCTGTCTCTCTGAAGTTTGTTTAGGTTGAGGCATTTTCTGTGGCTGTGCTGACCTGCAAACTCTAGCTATATGACCCCTGCAGCCACAGCGGCGGCAAATAGCGTCTTTGAAATTGCAGGAGGTTCTCGGATGATTTCCTCCACAACCCTTGCAGTCTGTATTAGCAGGATTGTTGTAACTGTCCCAATTCATCTTCTTCGTCCCCTTAAGATGATTGACATCTAACTCATCGTCCGAATCGCCAAATTCAGCCTCATTGAAGTGAATGGCTATTCCCTTCAGTTTTGGAGGACTATGTCCTCGGGGGAAATTGGCTATTGACAATGTGGCTAGTTCTGCGGCACACACCTCATCTAATGCCATTTGGAACGTGAGTTCATGGTTGACTATTAATCGCTGTTTGAGGGGCTCATCCCACATGCCACTCACTAATCTGTCAAGGAGATAGTTTTCTAAATTTACAAACTCACAGTGTCGTGCTGCTTTCCTCAGAGCTGCCATGTATTGATTAATAGATTCTCCCGGGGCCTGATCTCTGTGGTAGAAATGTTGATGGCGAGCAATTCTAGATGGCGCTGGAGCGTAATGTTTCTTTAACTTCTTCATGAATTCGTCCCAAGTCCTGGAATGGATTGATTGAGGAGCCATTAACGTCATGGCGGTCTCAAACATTTCTGTCCCACAAAAACTCAGGAAATATGCTCATTTACGGTCGCTTGACAGATTCGTGTAATCATTGGCAATGAGGAAGCATTCAAATCTTCCCACGTAAGCTTCCCACGATTCATTAGTCAGGTTAAAAGGAGCGAAAATCTGTGAGGACGCCATTTCCACCAAATCTGTCAATTTAGTCGAGGACTCACTTGCCCTGTATGACTGTGGCCGTGCGATGTCTCATCTCTATTGACAGAATGTTTTGCCAGTGACTGTTCTTTGTAACTTCGCTCAATTTTGTCTGTTACCTCAGCTTGCCATCCCACCTTCATCGCCAGTGCTAAATTTGTGCTTGAAGGGGTTGAGCAATGACTGAGGCAAGGCCCGAGATTATCAGGTAACACTTATTCTAACAAGCTTAATATTCCAACAACAGTCACAACAGAAGCGATTGTGTCTGTTTCACAGCTCTTTTATACTGGCTGTCAAATGGCTAGCCAATCAGGAACAAGGTAAGAACTTCTCTTCCTCCTCTAGGAGGCCGGATGTACATGACAGTGGCTCTGTGTAATGAGCCAATCTCCCAAGGTAACATCCAGCTGGTTAAACAATGATGCTATGGGGTAGTTGGTCAGGGCCACCCTTGCCCCATCATCAATATCTGTCCTGTCAGCCTTTACAATCTTGAACACACATACAGCAGGGTGTTGTTTAAATCCGTGTAATGCTCACCATGCCCCGTGATAAAAAATTCCAGGGGAGTGTTGGGTGTTAGGGATGATAAAGAAGGGATCTCAACATAGGTACTGTTTTCAATACTGGTCTGTGTAGGCGCCAGTTGAAAAAGATCCAGTTCTAATTTAACACATTCCTCTGAAGCAGAATGAATAAGTGACATATTGTATTAGAATATGTCTTCCTTGTCACAGGGCTTCCTCTTCTGTGCACGTTTCCTCTTGGTATAATGGGGTTTTTTCACAAGTCTTCTCTTTTAAAATGGAATAGGCGGGCCCGATGAGTAATTCTTCCTGGCTATGACCAACCCTGATCCATCCTGCCCCCTCTCAACAACGTGGGATACAAGATGCCCCGCAACATCTCTGACAATGTTTTTGGCAGCAGATTTCACATGCGGCTTAATGATTTCTAATCCATACCTCAAAAAAGGCATTGCTTTTCGAAAAAGCCCATGGAACAGACCCCCTGAACTTGTCCCATACATAATGGGGGCTCCTCGGAAGCCTCGAAGGCTTCCACCAGCTTGTGCCCTGTAGTAAGCCACATAGTCTTTAGGGCTCCCGTGCTCCTTGATTACAACCATCCTTCACTTTTCCGAGGCCTAAAATGAAGCTTGACAATCACCTTCTCATGATAAAAATGCACTTTTTTGTCCTGGTCGGTTTTGATTTCTATAGTAATGGTATCAATGTGATGTTTGCTGACCGGTACATAATGTGGACAGTCATAGGTCATTGTGATGAAATCATTGTCTTGCCCTCGCACAGACACACAGCGCAGTAATGGCACATAGAAGTCACCGACTATCTGGAGCTCTACAATGTCTGTGTAAACATATAAGGTGCTGAATCCAGGGAACATACCTAAGAGATGTCCAAGTTCTCCGCTAACTAGAATGGTATGCGGTTCATCTCCTTTAAGATTAATTTTTCAACCCACTGAATCATAATGTAAGGTTGTCTTAGGTCTGCCTTGGCATTTGATATAAGCTTGGTCATATTTTCTAACAGTTGTCGGATGCTGTTATAGTACCCATTTCTCAAAGAAAAATGCCATCTCTTTCTCTCGTTAGCAATTTCAAAATATCCAGGAGAAGTTAATGTGTACCAGCTATGTGGATACTGTATCTCTGCTAACCCTACTTCCCATGACCCTGGAAGATCCCGCTAATTGAATAGTAAAATTAGAATTTTTGTTTTGGGGAAAAATTGCTGCTGATGCATTGCTGGGAGGGTGATGTAAAACTCTGCCATATCAAAGATATTGTACTTCAGTATCCTTAACCCAACTGTTGAACTTCTCTGGCCATCCAGTCCATTTGACTAGAAACTCTCTGTGTCTCCCCAGCTTTCTTTTTTGGAAAATTTTCTCTATTCTGTATATGCGCTGTTGGTCAGCAGAAACCTTTTGGAGCTCCTCAAAGTAAAAAGCCCCCTTTTTACTGCATAATCATTTAATCTACACCACTCTTTCCCCCCTTGTCCCCCCTTGAATATCTCATCCGTATAGGTTTGCTGGTAGCCCTTTTTAAACTTACCCTTCAGTCTGGATACCCTGACATGATCTCCCATCTTAAGACATTTTTCCTTTCTTTTACTTTTAAAGTTAACCCATAAAGCCTCATCCACACATCCCTTTTGTTAGACAAATTTACAGTGTTAGGAGCAGCCCTGATGCTACGATGGTAAGTGCTATTGTACCCCTGAAGAGTATCTGCCAAAATGTCCACATACCGATGGGTATTTCTAGCTGTGAAATATCTCCAGAGTTTGTTTTTTAGGGTCCTATTAAACCTCTCTATAATGGCTGCTTTAGTTTCACTATGAATGACAAAATGATGAATGCCATAATGTGCTAAAAGTTTCTTCAGCAAAATATTCAAGAACTGTTTACCTGCATCTGTCTGTATTTTTCGGGGTGCACATCCTGTTTCAAAGATATTCTGGAAGGCAGATGTAACTTCCCTCCCTGATTTATCAGATAAAGGAGAGGCCTAGGCATATTTAGATAACACATCGATAACTGCTAAGATGTACTTTTTTCCATGGTTCTCCTTAGAAAATTTGGAGACATCTATGAGGTCAGCCTGCCATTGATGATCTAAGCCAGACACTACTGTTTTATTTCTTGGAAAATTAATTCTTGCAGGCTTATGAAGCATATAAACATCTTGCCCTGATAGCCACGTCTTGACTTGCTTCATGGTCAGGTTTTTATTATGTTTTCTAGCTTCCTGAAAAAGAGTGTCCACACCTCGATAACTCCCTACACATTCTGGTGTAAAATAAATTTGGCTTAGAAGCTTTTCATGCATCATTATACTGAAAGATCACTGACAAATAGTCAAGCGTTGACATTAACACGTTGTTTTATTGGTTATACAGAGTTCAGAGGGGCATGGCACCACCATCAGAAAAATATCCCTCATCACCACTATCAGGATCAAAAGATAAAGGTCCATAACACGGTATTTTACAATACGTTGACCCGCCTGTACCCCACAAATCATGTCCGCAGTCGCAAGGAAACCAGTCTTTACACAAATTGCAGCTCTTTAACTCACAGGGTAGATAGCATGGTCTCTGGGATAGCTCAGAATCCTAGTTATAGTCTAGATCAGAAAAATCTGCAGAAGGTTTCTGAGTCTGTCAATTCTTTTTTTTTTTATTAATTTTTTTTTAATTTTTATTATGACATAGTATGACAATCACACAACATACAACATATAAATATCTCCTCTTTTTTTAAACATTGTTTCTTCATGGTCTTCTTTCCGTTATTGCATCTTTCCTCCCATATCTCTTCATTTTTTTGTTTTTTCCATTGTCC